GTACCAAATATTGTGAACTGTTGTCCCAAAGTGGGAAAAACTCGGATATTTATTTAGGATAAATATCAATGGCCTCCCAAACGCCTGATCGGATATCCCTTGAATGATTCGGACCTTCATCGGATGCCCTTCCCTTGCTGCACTGAAGTCGAGAGAGCTCGGGTGTATACCAAATTCCGATGATGAAACTATAAAGTGATGCTAAACGCACTATCGATAGAGAAACTCCCAGAGAAAATCCACCTCTTCCCCGTGGGTAATTGAACCCCACTCGTTCGGATTTGCCGTTTGGGTGCTTTACTAATGAGCTATAGAGGTATCGCTTAAGAGCAGATCCATCTACGCATATGAATTAGGTAATAGCCAGTGTTGTGATACTTTAAGGGAGGTTCTTAAAACACGGTCGAGGCAGGTGAACAGATGAAGAACGTAACTTTTTATCTTTATGGTTATTTTGACGTTAAGTGTCTCATTAAGCATCGTACAACATTTGTATTCCAGGCACTATTAATTGCTTGTAGCATTTAACTGTGTTCATCTTTTTCATACTAGATATCAAAATTCACCTGACTTACGACTGACTTGGCTGTACAACATGGCTGCCAAACATGGCGAGGTACCAATAGCTTTAAGATTCGGTATTAACTTATCGAAGGAAAGCGGTGAAGCTCTATTTGGTTAATTCTTACTTCCTTTCTAAATTTCCAATTTCTGACCATGCATCCTGTTGCGCTTGCGAAATACAGATTTCCGTACAGACGAAGGAATTGCCGTCATATGGAAACCAAATTTCTCAATGTAAAAAGTCGGTACATTCTCTTAGGCATTGGGCTCCGCGTGAACGCTGCACCAAGCATAGGTGCGCCTCCGTAATTGCAGTAATGAGTTAACTTTACACACAGGAAGTATTCGTCCAAGCTTTCAGTATGTGATCCCTTTAAGTTCAAGTGCATCAAGAAACCATAATCTGACTGACCTCGAATGATGACTCGTTGTCGTATTTTTCCTTTTGTTGTGTTTTGTGTTTCTTTTGAGCAGAATAAAGTGGAAGCAGCCATGTGTTTACTACATACAGCAGGTTTGGTGTCTGAGTACCTGAGTATGTTGGAAGACAAGCCGTACCTACCCATTGGATTTTTGGCCAGGGCTTGGCAGCAGTTTCCGTTGTGTCCACAAGTTGCTATTCGAGCTGTTAGACGATGGGATAAACAATAAACAACTGACTGTAACATCCTAACGTTGGTTTTGTGGCACGGAGAATTTTTCGTTGATACTAGCCTAGTAGACGTTTCAATGTAGTTCTATCCAGCCCAACTGCGATTGGTTGTTCGTTTTACGAGTAGTGCTTAGTTCTGATTTAACCATGATTGTCAGTGTTCATGTCAGGTCTAATAAACCTCCTGTTTACAATCACCATTCTCAATAAAGTGATAAACTATTGTTTTGCTGGATTGCAATATAGTTCGTTTGAAAATTAAGGTTGACTTGTCTAACTGTCGCTTGGGTGATGTGCTGTATTTACAGGGTCCTCTAGAGATTGCTTTGGTATTCTTGTGTCACGATAAGGACTGTGAAGATGGCGCAGAAACACCAATGACCACGAGACACCATCACAGACTAAGACTCTGTTTCAAAGAGTTTATCAAGAGGTAATGCTAGTGTGTACAGCCAGGCAAACAACAAACCGAGACATAAAAATCAATCAAGAAGCACTTTTTGTGTATAATGCAAGACTCGAATGATTAAGCAACTCAACCGAAGTTACGTGCATTACAAGAGCTAACGAGTGAGCAAGAATCTTCTTCGTGCAAAATAAAAAGTGAGGCTTTGGATGGCCAATCGCCATATAGAAGTTTGAAATAATTGTAAAGTTCCCTTGTCCCCATGTGTTTTTACTGCGTTTTCTAGTTTTTGGATCACCAAAATTCCAATGCAAACCCTACAACAGCCTAATGTAACTAAATTCCTTGGGGTCTATATTGACGATCATCTCACCTGCAAACACCATATCAGCTATGTATGTACACAAATCGCTAAATCAATAGGTATTATATTTAGGTCTCGCTTTTTCCTATCCTTTACAACCAAACTCACTCAGTTGTACTGCATCTTATTTTATCCTTATATCGTCTATTGTAACTCCGTCTGGTCGTCCACATACATATCTAACTTAAATAGAATTTATTATTTGCAAAAGTGAGCTGTGTGGGGCTATCATCAACTCAGACTATCGAGCCCATTCTGCTCCTTTATTCTCCAAGCTAGGAATTTTTAGATTTTTTCCAAGTCAATACGTTTGAACTCGCCAAATTTATGTTATTTCAAAAATAACTTATTGCCCCATTGCTTCTCAATCTCTTTGTAAGGAATAGCCAAACTCACAGCTATGGTACCAGAACAGCCAGTAATTATCGAACGCATTTGTGCCGTACAAATCTCAAGCAATTTACAATTCTCAACCAAGGTCCGAAAATTATGAACTCTCTCTCTATTTCAGTCACTCGTTGGTCAAACTTTCTCAGCTTTAAGACGAAATTGCATGAGCTTTTACTTAAATAATCACTAAAATTAGCCAAGCCGCACATTCGCAGCACTTTTTCTTTACTTGATTTATTATTGTAAGTGAGATGGCTCTCCCACAAGACCGGTGGCTTCTTGGGTCTCGTTGCCTTCTAACTGTTATCGCTGTAATTAAATATTTTTATTGTTAAAATAAGGCAAATAAGAGATAATGATGATGAATATTTTATGCTATCCAACTGGCAGCATTCTTGATCTTGGGCTAACTTTGCTACATTCGGGTATTTGTGCGGTGCATTAAAGTTCATGTAAGACACCAAATATCACGTCAGATACCGTCACTGAGTGCACTTCCTCCGACCATACCGCAACCGTCTGACTTTATCACTCCTTGGAGTTATCAATACCTCAATCCTTGTAGTGCCTTAAAACATGTTATTGCTATGTATTAGGTGTGGAGATGCTCTGCATAGGAACAAGCAGCTTATCGCATCTGACCAACGTGCCTATCAGAAAGAACTGGAAAGGAATTATACACAGCTTACCGAACA